GTTTGCATCTAGCCATTTCAACAGTAAAATGATGAAGCCTTGTAGTACATTTCAATTCATGTGGTCATGACAGAAAGGAGGAGAGCTCATGAGAACAACTGCCATGAAAATATTTATAGAAAAGATAAAGAGAAGCAACATTACATTTTCCCCTTGGGAAAGTAACTGAAGTTAAGATGCCAGGTGAGGACTGATAACATGACAGACACTTCTTTTGAATTTTGTCGTGAAACAGAGGACCAGACCTGATATAGCAGAAATATTCAATGCATGGGCAAATGGTATTTATAAATGTACAAGATGAATTCTGACAAAAGAATTTTCTGGCATGATACATTGAGACAAACTTCTTAGCAGCACACCAAACAATTGATTCAATATAATCACTTCACTTCATGTCTGTAGAAAACATGAGACCAAGAAGACACAATGAGTTACTCTCCTGGAGGTTAGAATCAACCACGCTAATGGAGGACAAAAATGGTTTTCTATGATGATTAAAGGATAGCAGTTTTATTTTGGAGGTATTAAAATTTACAAGCCATTTCTTGCCCCAGTTAACAATTAATGGGAAGTAATTTTTGAAAGCAGCTTCCAGTATTGTCAAACTTATCAAACACTATTAAGACAGGAGTAAATATTCATATTAAATATTTTAGACACATTTTAAAATACCATTTCCTATTATTTCTTTTGTGTAATAATAGCTTTGAGAATTTTGTTTCTTTCCCTGTAGTGAGTGCGAAATAATATTTTGAACAAAAAACATGAACTTTGAACAGTTTATGCTTTTGATATATAACAAATTATTAAAAAATTAGAAAAATACAATAAAAAAGTGAAACTGAGAAATCTTGTTGGTTGAATTTAATAAAACTTTATATATAATGTGTATAAATGTCTAGACCTACTCGTGTGAAAACTGCTTTCAACAATGACTTCATCAGATGAGGACTCTTGAATCAGGTATGATTTTGAGGACAAAGAATTCTTACCAATTGCCCAGCAATGGTATCACCAAACAGTATGACATTGCTAGATCTGTTAAGATGCAGCCTTTGCCCAATATAGGAGCCTCTAAGTATATTTCCTCTTTTTTTTGTTGCTGACAAGTATAGTCAGGCCTGTCGACAATGAGCTGAAAATATATCAGTTACACCACCCACACATCCATCTTGGTAATGGAATAAATTGACTTCTCTTTGAACTTTAGCCTATTTTTTATGTATAATCTATTGTCATACTGTAATGCTAGTTGTGGTTGAATAAGCACTTGGACAAATGGCTTCCCTATAACTCAACTTATCTTGTTACCAGCCTTTACAGGGACCAATGCATTATTATATAGTGTTGTTATTTAAACACGAGGCAACAGAAATATGGTTCTACAGGAGGATACTGAGAATACCAGGGACTGAACATGTGAGTAATGAGGATGTTTTACAGAAAAAGGAAATAAAAAGGACACTTACTTCAAATCAAAAAGAGGAAGTTGAAATTTCTCAGGCACATAATGAAGAAAGAAGTCTTGAAGAATTTGACACTGACAGAACGAGGAAGAAAGGAAAGCAATGAATAACCTACCAAACAACCTTGTATAAATGTTTGGTAGAACAGGGATTAGGAGAGATAGCAAAAAGACAAAACTTATTAAGAGCTACAAAGGAGAGGAAACTGTGGAGGCCATAATTGCCATTGCCCTGAAGGTACACAGCACATAGAAGACTACTTAATCCATAAGCATATTGATTTAGAAATAGAAATTATTTTGTCATATTTACTGTAATTATACTTTTATATTAATCACGATTCATCATTATCCCTCTCAAAGAGATGATGATGGTCCAATTTTTTTTGTTTTTAAAAAAGGAATTGTGCATGTATTTGAGTAGATTTACATAAGTAGAGTGACACAGGTACACCCTCTTGACTTCCCCTCCAAAATCCAGTTGCTAATCGAGGATAAATTGCTAGACCAAGTTACAAAATAAGGAATGCTCTTTTTGTGCTTCACAGCCTAGTTTGAATTTTTCCTTCTCTTAGACTGGCTGCCACCCAAAGCTAGAAAAAAACAGTGTACCTTGCTATTTATTCAATAGCTAGAGGGGAGAAAAAAAAAAAAAAGAGTTAAATTCCTGCTTTTCCCAAGAGTATTAGTGTGAAAGTGAACGTAACAGACTTGATCAGAATTTGATCTTGATTTGCTGATTACACTATTTGCAGTAATAACCATTAAGCTATCCACACATCCTCCTGTGCCATATTTGATATTATTGGTTTTATGGCCAGTAGCAATAGATTTGGTCTTTTGGTAGCTGTAGGGTTTCTGTAGCTCAAATGTTAGTGCAGTTGTCATGGAAAGACAAGCTTTATGAAGAAAAAGGAATATGAATTTGTTTCACCAAGAGTGTATTATTTCCAATCTACACTGTTTACTGGCAGCCACAGAATGACACTCTGATTGGTTGCAATGAAATTAAGATGGTAGTAATATTAGTAAAAAAAATTAATTGCAGTACCTTATCACAATAATTCAAGATAATGTCTTTTTTAAAGTAGGTTTTTAGCAGCACATTCTTGGACTCATCAGTATGTATCCCCAACCCCTACTGGGAAGTTACTGCCTGTGAGGTTGGGTCTTGTTTTTGATCAACTTCTCAGAGGTAGGAGCAATCAAGTAACCCAACAAAATTAGAAATTGAATCAGCCTGATATATTTCCCTACTGTTCTCAATGGTCAATATTCAAACTGTTAAAAAGCTTGTCTCCTAAATACTAATTTTTGAGTCAAACAAGTTTTCTCTACTTGGAAGATTGGTGCAACACAATCTTATTTTCCATCCACCTTTATTTGGTTTTGTCCTTTATTAAGCTTAGTAAATATCAAAATCCCTAAACCCAAGAACTGCTACATTGTGGAAAAGATTCCCACATATGTGCTTCCTGGAACACTTCAATCTTGACCTTTTAAGTCAAAGGTCAATCATCTTTATCAACATAATCTTCATTTCTTACCACTTTCTCTTTCACACATCATTTAACATTTTGTTGACTGTACTTCTTTAAGTGACTTGTAAGCCTTGTTTTGCTTGATCTTTATAAAAAAAAAAATTATTTTGTCTTCATTTTTGGTTCTTTCATATTTTTCCAGTAACTAGTACTTTCTCTCTACCTTTTCTATAATCTTCATTAAGAAATACTAAGGAAAACATTGGAAAAATATGAATGAAAAAATTGAAATAATACTAAGGAACCAATTGGCACGAATTAACCCATCTACTGTATATATTTGAGTATAGTGTGAGTTTTTATGCAAAAATAGGGTATCACACTATACACAGGTAATTTGTTTTTTTAAGCGATTAAAAATCACGCATTTTGGTAACCAGTTGCACTATCCACAGGTAAATTTCAAATAAATGTTCATCACTATAGGTTAGCTGGCTAGCAGCAGCAGCAGTTCTGGTATCCCACCACAGCACACATTTAAACAACCTCAATTTCTAGCAAAATAAATAAAAAAAAAAAAACATATGTGTACAGAGTATTTTTTACTTAGAATTATAATAATCCAAAGTATGTACTTCAACTAATGGGATACCCTGTATAATGTACTGGTAATACTGACAAAAAGATGGTCATTGGAAAAGCAGTACCTTAGTGATGTAAACACTTGCAAAACAAAGATGAATGCAACTTTGAGATAAGAAAAAATCTATTAATTCTTCTGCTATATAAGGTATTTGTTGATTTTTAAGTAGCATACATAGAGGATGAGGTTTTGATTTTCATGTCGCAACAAAAGGAAAGAAACTTAGGCTACACTGGAGGTAGGCTCACGGTAAAGGAGCTGACATAGTTGGACATGAATGAAACCCATCTATTTGCTATAAAATAAATGGATTATAGCCAGTAATGCAATATTTGACTACTATAGGCCTACTAGTATTGCTCAGAGGCTGGGATTGCATTGTACAAGATATATGAAAAAAAAGAAAAAGAAAAAAAGATTATCACAAAATTCAGATGGCACCCTATATATGAAGTAGGCTTATACATGAGTGTGTATGTATGTATATATATATATATATATATATATATATATATATACACACACACACACACACCTACGTTCGAAGTGTAACTTAGTCTTGTTGTTCTACCAACTCATCAGGCACAAATTATTACTTTTGATTTAAAAAAAAAAAATAAAATAAAAATACTGGGTTTCATGGGAGGAATGCTAAATTAAACGCAGATCCAAAGCTCAAATTTAATATAAACTTAATATAATATTGGGGTATAAATGCAGAAGTTGGAGTGTAGGTTGGGGGATATTGTGAAAAAACCAGCACCCTACCTACAATCTACATTCTGTATTTACACCCTAATATTTATCCAAATAATGTTCATTTCTTACCACCTTTTCTTCTTTTCTGTTTAATCTCACTCACCTCATTCAACATTTTGTTGACTGCAACCCTTTAACTTGAATGGAATTCAAGATTTGTATTGAGTGAACGTTAGCATAATAAAAAAATTACTTTGCTTTCATATTTTTCCAGCAACTAGTTCAGATTTCTTCCTGCCTTTCTGTAACCTTCAAGAAGAAGGAACATTGAGGAAAACATGGGAGAAATATTAACAAAAACTCTAAAAGAATATTTAGGAACCAGCTGGCATGAATTAACCGATCCATGGATAAATATATATTATTATATATAGTAACTCATAATCTATTTGTCAAACTATATTTCAGAAATATTTATTGAGGAAACTTTAGTATATTAAAAAACAATTGAAGCTATCATCTAAAATTTTAAGAAATAATATATGCCAGAGATGCTAAAAAAATCAGAAAGAATAGAAAAGTCTTTGAAACAAAAAAACATTATCATTTATTTTAACTTTTAACACTTTACATACATTTTTATATATATATATATATATATATATATATATATATATATATAAAGCAGGTAAGTCATAAAGAAGTGGAATCATTGAAAAGAATGAATACTGTTTTGGGGGTTATTCAAAAATAATGACAGCTCATTATATTGGTCAGGCCACTTGTAATGTCTGCTGTTCAACCATAATGGGATGTTGTCCACAGTTCCCCCTTTGAAGAGCAATGGAATGAACCGATGTTTTGATCCACGGAACAAAGCCTCGACTTTTATCTTTGAGAAGATGTATGCTGCATGAAGTTCATCAGGTTTCTCCTCCTCTTCTAATTCAACCCGTTGAATCGATTTTATATATTCATGATCAAAGCAGATAAGCACAAAGTGTGCCTGAAAAGAGAAGAAAAAGAGCAAAGATATTTCAATATTTCATACCGTCTTTTTTTTTTTTATCCCACTTTTTAGCAAAACAAAATCTTCCTTGATTAATATAACTTAATTATAAGAGTTAGAAATGCCTTACTTCATGAAACATTTTCTCAAATATTAAGGGCATTTATGTTTTTAATTTGAAAACAAAAAAAAACTATGACTATATGATAACATTTGAACAATGACCATTGAATGTTAAAATATATAAGCAAGAGATTTACTAAGTTTAATATGGCACAGGGCAAAAAAGAAGATGGGGGAAGATTATATTGCACCAATCATCTAAGTGGAGAAGGTCTGCTTTAAAATCCTAGCTATAAAAGCCAGGATTTCAAGGCAGGCCTACTCCACTGGCTCAACAAAAAGAACTTGTGTTATTGATATTTGCAAAAGCTTACTTCATTGCAGCGCAAGTCTATAAAGGAGTAGGAAGATTATGTTGTACCAATCTTTCAAATGGGGAGGGCTTTGAAATCAACATTTGAAATCATAGTTCAATGCCTAGCATGGGTTGGAAATATGCAACTGGTTACCAAGAAAGTTGAAATATCATCAAAGATGTGTGTCTGTGATAGATTATATGTCATCCATAAATAATAAATATGAAAAAGGGATAGAAAAACAAATTGTTAATATTTTTTTTCATGAAGACATCCAAAAAGAACAAATTGCTCAGCAAGTTTAATCCACAAAGTGATTACAATGTATTTTCATCTTCAATAATTTTGGTTGCAGTGAATCAAAAATTTAAAAAAAAAAAAAAAAAAAAGGATTAAAAAAAACTTAGCCTTAAAAAAAAAAAAAAATTAACTAAATAAAATTCTCTTTTCAGATAAAATAGCCACAGTTAATGACTATTATTGTTATCAGTTGTTTTTTTTCCCTGACAGTTACTCACATTTTCATCACTTTCCCCCAAACTATGAATACTTTTTATTATATGAAATTATTCTATTCTTATTATTTTCTCATGATTTATCTTATTTTTCTTATTTTATTTTGTTTTTACTTATTTTCATTTTCTTCATTCTTTCAATTTACCTGGACACATATGGGAATCCTATTTCATTCTTTCCCAAAATATAGAATTTAATATTTTCTGACAAAGATAAAAATGAAAAAAAAAAAAAAATATCAGTATTAAAATGCACCATTTTTTTGATCTGTCCCATTTTTAGAACAGTAGGTATTAATGGGTGATATTGGATTGGGCTATCCGTGTGGTTCAGGGCATGTATTGCAATGTCCAGAGTCAAGTTAGAGTCAATAGCCAATATAGCCAGGTGTTGGTGTTCATCAAAGCTCAGTCTTGAGTCCACTACTCTTCATTCTCATGTTGCAGGCACTCTCTTGAGAATTCCACACTGGAGTACCATCAGAACTTCTATAAGCTGATGACCTTGTGTTAATCACTGAAAACCTGGAAGGTGGGCATGGAGAGCAAGGGGCTTCATGTCAACATGAAAAAGACCAAGTTTATGATTTCTGCTGTTGACCTGGGCAAGTTGCGGGAGTCTGGTGAATTTTCCTATACTGTCTGCCTTGGTGGAGTGAGTAAGAATTTTATCTTGTGCTCCAAAGGCAACACCTAGTTGCACAAGAAATGCAGTGGCATCACTGGTAGTTATGCATTTTGTACAGGTATTAAAAGTCATTGTTTGAGCTGAGGCCATGTGGATGGTTCACTGAATAGCTATAGTTAGCCAAGTTATCTCAAAGGCCTTTAGTAAGGAAGAGTTTAATCATCATTTGAGACCTGAACAAATTTCAGGGCTCTTCACCAAAGAGTAATGGATAGTAAGCTCAACTTGCAGACAATTATTACTGCAATAAATTTGATTCTCACTGAGTGCTTTACAATACCTATATAATTATAAATATTAGATATTTTCTAATCAATTAGTTTCTATTATTACTTCATAGTAAACAAATCATATAGTATTTAGAATGACAATATGATTTGAGTATAGTTCTGCCTGGCCATAAGGCTGCTATGATTGAATTACTTCAGATATCATTCATGTAATAGGGCAGGAGCTCATATTGCATTGGAAATTTATTCTTTATATTGATTTCATGCTGTTTACTTTAATGCTTGAAGAATGAAGTCAATTTAACAAGATTCAATAAAAGTCATAGAAAGACAAAGAAAATTAGTACAAAATGAATGAATGAAAATACTTCATCACAAAATTCAAAACAAGCTGAAATTAAAATTAGAAATCTAGTTGCCAGATGCTCTTTTTGCTTATAAAAAAAGGTTTTGCTTCAATTTTAAGAAAAAAACAACAAACAAACATTTTACTCACTCTGTTGAAATATTCATCAACTTTGCTTTTTGTAACCTTTTTTTTTTTAGATCCCATTGCAGAAGAAATATTTTTCCAGAAATCGGCACAGGTGAAAGATTCTGCTATCATGGTTTTTATTTCCATTACCATATGTAATGAACACTCTGATACGTTTCTTCTCTGAAAGAAAAATAGGAAGAAAGTAACATTTTGTCTGTCTTGTGGATATTGGGAGTTGTGTATCTTCACACATGACAGTTATTAGTAATCTCTCTCAGGTGAACAACCAGAATTTCAAATGTTGATTATAAAATAAGGTAGGCCATTTGCCAAATGAAAGCTTGGTACAGCAAAATGAATTTTTAAAAATGAAAAATCTTTCTTGAAGCTTTTATTTTAGTTTTAATTTCAAGCTAAGAGATTAAATTTAATATTTCCAATGAGCAAAATACTTTGCTGTATTTAAAAATCTAATTGACTGGAAAGAATGTTTTCTTTGCTAAAATAGGTAATTTCTGCCCTTTTTTTAGTCATCTTTCATCAAATGTAATTTTCTTTATTAAAAAATCTTCCAAAAATAAAATGTACTTTTCTGAAACGTTATTTAAGAAATATTAGCTGATTTAAAGTATAATTTACCTGATTTGAAGCAAATATTATTTAAGTTTAAAATATTGCAGAAATGTATCTTTAACTAGACAGTAGCTGTGTTGACGTGTTTGAGAAGTTGATAACAGTTCGAATGTTGTTCTACAGAGACTTTATTTGTAAAAGATAATTGAAAAAAAATGATGTGAATACTTTTTTCATTTAATTTTTAAGTACTCAGTAATCTTAAAAACTAGGGAAATATTTTCTGTAATCTAATGTTTTATTGAATTTTAGAAATTTTGGCTTTAAATCTACTATAGTCATCACTCATATTTTCTGATAATGCCATGTATGGTCACCCATACTTATAGAAAACAGCACATTTATACACTAATAAAAATAAAAATCTATTTTTAAAATATTGGTGTTTGATGATTTGCATCAAGCTTTTCCATTTATGATTAGTAAATAGATTTTTCACTTAATAATAATATCAAAACTGCTGAAATTAATACAGAATTTTCAAAGATTTAAAACTTAAGAAATTTTTCTAATTAAAATTTAAAAAAATGAAAACAATTCTTGTAAGAATTCATTATTCACTGAAATTTTTTACAAGAATTGTTTTCATTTTTTAAAAATTTAACTAGAATAATTCATAAAATTTTAAATCTTAAAATTCTGTATTAAGTGGTTAGCTGATATTGTTATTAAATAAAAACTATATTTACTAATCATAAATGGAAAAGCTTACTACCATTCAGTGACCCCCTCCAATCCCAAATATTGTAAAAAGAATTAAAAATTTTTTTTTTTTTGCATAAATGTGCTGATTTTTGTAAATACGAATGTCCATACACAATATTATTAGAAAATAATAGCAATAACATCGTAAATTTAAAGCCAAAGTACCTAAAATTCAATTAAAACATTAGATTATGGAGAATATTAAATTTTTAAGATTATTGGGTAGTTAAAAATTTTATATATATATATATATATATATATATATAAAAAGTATTCTGCGTTATATTCTCCAAGTAATTTTTACAGATATATTCACCAAAGAAAAATGAAATAAATTTCTGTCTGTCAACAGCATAAATAAACAGCTACTGCAATGTTACAGAATGCTTTTCTGCAATATTTTAAACTTGAATTAATATTTGTTTCAAATCAGATTAATTAAACTTTAAATCAGTTGATATTCCCCAAATAAAGTTTAATAAAAGTATATTTTATTTTTTAAAGATTTTTAATAAAGAGAATTACATCCTGATGATGGATAGGTAAAAATAAGTGATTTTACGAATTTCAAAACAAAAATCCTTTTGGTTTATTTAAATTACTTTTGGAATACAGCAAAGTATTTTGCTTAGTGGAAATATTAAATTTAATCTATTAGCTTGAAATTAAAACTAAAATAAAAGCTTCAAGAAAGATATTTTTATTTTTGAAAATTAATTTTAAACTTTGGGTATCACATTTCTGTCATAGTATGTGTATATATATATATATTTATATATATATAGGATTAATTTACTCACATTAATCCTATTAATGCCCAATCTTTGATATTGAGCATTTTATTAAAGACTGTTAAATGTCTTTTCTCTCAATACCATATGACTGTCAGCATTTTAGGCTTTGACATCAGTCTCACTGTCGTATGAACCTGAAGAAAATTTTACCATATAAAATTCTGGTATTAATGCACTTTCTATTTATTTTGTTTGCCCCTAATAAATTTATTTCTTTTTTCATTGGAAATGACTAAATCAAAATTATAGTCAAACCTATTATAATAAATGATTAATGTATTGAGTGTAATATTTTGTGAAAAAACTCTTATGTTCATATATTTTATTTAAATTCCTAGTTGTCTCACTAATATATTTCATGGGGTATTCTTTGCAGTCTATTTTGTATTTTCCAGCTTCAAATTTAATGTTGTTATTTTGTGTTGATTAAATTCTTTTCTATTGTAATCATAATGGAGTTGGTAGGTAGCATTATGTGCCTAGTCTAAAGGTTATTTGTGTTACTTTGTCTTTGTGAATTTTGTAAAGTTTCCTCTTCCCATTATATATGAAATAATTAGGTTTCTGGAAACATTTAATAGGTATGTCAACAATATAAATTTTTAGAATTAACACAGGTGGTTTTCTAAACAATAACAAAAAATTGTCAAAAATGCAATTATTATCAATCAATTATTATCAAAGCATATAATAATTATCAATGTGTATTTATTTATACATTTCTTGTCCTATCTGTAGTGATAAGGGAGGTAAATCAAGTTAGGAAAATTTATGAGTGATTACTTCCCTTAGTCATTTTAATAATCTATATATATATATTTATCTGCATTTAAACAAAATTAGTTCCTGAGCAAAATGAACCATTTAACTAATCAGTTCCTTTATTCCTACATTTCAGTCTTATTTATTTAAGTCTTTCATGTGAGGGACTCAGATATCTTTGTCTATTAAGTGAATACAATGTTTCAAGACTTTTGTTTCATTGCATTTCACTATTAAAACTTAGTAACCATTGTCATTTTTGACAGCATGGGTACACTAGTATCTGCATAAATATCATAAAAATTCTAGTGTTAAATATAATATATAGAAACATATAACCGTAATAATGTTAGACACAGTATCAGCATTAACCTTAGTATATGCATCTTGTCTAAATTTTGGAGATGAAGAATTATTATTATCATTACAAACTGATTTGTTTGGACTAGAGTCTTCAACTTGGTTGATATTATCACAAAGTTTCAACTATTGTACCCACTGGTCTTCTTCAGGTGTCTCTTATAGTTGGTAAGCTACCAGGAAATTAAATCAATTTTTTTTATAGAATCTACAGGAATAGACTGCTTCTATTCTGCAGTCCATGATTGGGGATATCTTGCATAAATTAATTCTATTGAGTTAATTGCTTATCTCTTCCACTGAAACAGATTTTATACTTTTGCACTACCAGATTCAGGAATTGAACCCACAACAGCAGGTAACTTTATTCACTAGATCATGTCTTTCATAGGAAAATTTGGTGGTGAAAAGTTGAAATTGGAAGCCTATTGTTGCTTGTCTATCTATCAGAGAACCAGAGTCAATGACTTAATTAGGTGATTGAATTTTTTGAGTATTAGGTTTAATGTTCTTTCGTTCTTAAATGAGTCTTGAAGTCATTTCATCAAAGTAATTTATGTATATATTTGCCATCACTGAAAGAGGGATCAAAACCCCGTCTGGAAATTATGTTGGAAAATAAGGTGATTGAAAGATTCATCACCTGTGCTAGACTCTAAGAACCTCCTCAGTAGGCCTAACATAGAAATGAATGCCACAGGAGAGCTTTATGAAAGTGAAAGACATTAGGTTGAACACTCAAAAAGTCTGCCACATAATTACAAGTATTATAAAGTGCCATGTATTCAAGTTCAGGTGAAGATGCAACATCAGATTTAAGGTTTCAAGTTTGTACCACTGAACTGTCCTATAGAACACATGGAATAGTAGATTGTATCATTGGTCAAGTAAACAGAATTACTTGATGAATGTGGGTTCAATCTCCAAATTGAGTAGTGCAAAAAAGTCATATAATCTGATTCAGTAGAAGAGACAATATGACAAGGACATAAATTAACTGATGCAAGATATCCTCCAGCATGTATTGTGAAATGAAAACAATCTACTCCAGTGGATTGAATAAAAGGTTAAGTTTGAAATTTGTGGGAAGCTAAAAACTACAACAGGCACCTGAATAAGCTACAATGGCAAAAATGTTATAACAACCCAAACAAGGATACTAGTCTAAACATATCTGAACACAATAAAGAGTATACACTGTTGCTAGACCCATTATAAACCAAGTATATACTATAGTGTTACACATTATTATATAGTAAATGTATAAATATAAATAAATGTATACAAAAAATATATACAATTGCTTAATGCCAATGACTTTTTCTCACCTTTGTTTACCCCACAGTTTATAATTTTCTCAGGCATGAAAGAATGTTTTTGATTGTAGTTCTTGTCAACTTCAACCAAATCATTGAGTGCTGAAGTAAGAGAAGGGTTCCTATCAGGTTCTGTCAAACAGCCAAGACGACTGTCTGCAAATGAACAAGTCTCGGGAATGCTGCAAGTTAATTGCCTTGAGTTCCGTTCTTCTGAGATAACATTACTTGGATAGGCTACTCGCTCATAAGAATTCATATAGTAAGGATCGTTGAAACTGGCTGTTTCGGATGGAAGGTCAACAGACATGCCAGAAGAGTAAGGTATTTTATCACTCAACTGGAATACTGAATTAACTTCAGCAGTGTTCAAATAACTTTCAAGGATTTCTAAAAAAAAAAAAAAAGAAAAATTGTTAAAAAAACAGGAACAGAATTAGTAATTTTAAACAATAAATAAAATCCATGAAAATTAAAAAGCTGTGTTTGTGCAATTAAAAAAGAAGCTATGATTGTTACCCATTTGAAGTCTGTAACCTGACACATAGTTATTTGATCTGAAATTGTTATTATATAATGTCTGATCTATGTGATCTGTTCCCTGAATTAAGTGCATTTACAAGGAAGGTGATTATGCTGAGAAATAAATGCTTTAATGTTAAGTTTTGCTGTATCTACATATATGACTAGCTACGAGTCATTGAGTATGAATTACTTCATTAATGTTTAAAAGGGCCTTCAAACAGCAGACATAAAATAGAATCAGCTTCTTAACCTTTGCCACACTGAATGTAATTTTGTTTATCCCAGGCAAAAAGTTTGTCCTGCCATTGCAGGTGACTAATTGCCAAATGAAAGCACATTTGTATTTTGTGGTTGTGTTTTCACATGCTTTATTATGGCAACAACAAAATTGATCCTGACAGAAATTGAAAATGAGGCTATTGTATTTGATGGGCCTTGAAGAAAAAAACCAAAACATGCAGTGGAAAGGGAAAGTAACACTTGTGCATAGTGCAGGTTAAGTCAGTTATGTTTGTACACATAATTATTTTATTTTTTTTTAAATAAATAATAATTTCAATCTTGGTATGTATATATGTATGTATTCTTTATTTGTTTTTTTGTTTTTTTTTGTTATTTTTGTAATCATTTCACCCCAGACAAGGCAGGAATGCCACTAGCATACAGCAGGTTACAGAGAAAGTGAGAGAAAAGACTTGGTATAGGGGGGGGATTGAGGTAAGGATAAAAGATGAATGGGGTTCAAAACAACAGATGGCGATTGATGTTGCATTTAAATTTTTGAAGATGGTAGTTATCAGGAAAGCAAGTGAGTGGAATTGAGTTCCATTGTCGGCAAGTGCAAGGAAATTAAATTTACGTAATTGGGGCACCAGGGAAAAAAACTCGGAGTAGTTGACATGAAAATATTTGTAGAAAAGACAAAGGGAAGCCACATCACAGCTGTGAGAAAATGACTGAAGTTGAGATGCCAAGTCAGGAACAATTACATTGCAGATCCCTCTTTGGATTTTGTCAAGAACCTTGAGATGAACAGCATGGCACCAGACCAAATAAGGCAACAATATTCAATGCATGGCCGAATGGTAGATTTGTAAATGTGCAAGATGGAATCTGATGAGAAAAACCTTCTGGTGTGACACAATGAACCAACTTTCCTTGCAGTAGATGCAGCTATTGATTTAGTGTAGTGGTTCCACTTCAAGTCAGTTGAAAATGTGAGGCCAAGAATGCTGATGGCATGCACGAAAGTTTCTCTATGGTGGTTAAATGAGTTTAGTTTTAGAGGTATTAAAATTTACAAGCCATTTCCTGCTCCAGTTAACTACTGACTGGAGGCCCTTTTCAAGAGCAGTGACCAACTCTGACAGATTTGCTATTGAGACAGGAGTAAATGGTAGTATCATTTGCATAAATGCCTACTTGGGAACTGATAACTTCAGGAAGCTCATTGATGAAGATCAGAAACAGTGTAGGATCCAGTATAGAGCATTGGGGGACACCTGTGTTTGTGTGAAAGAATCTGAAAACAAGCCCGTTCAGAATGACCTTCATTTCACGATTTGATAGGAATGATTGGATTAAATCAAACAATCGTCCTGTAATACTGTAGCCCTGATCAGCATGCCAAACCCTGTCAAACACCTTTAAGATATCTAGAGCCACAGCTCAAGCTTCACCACATATTCAGTGATGGCCATAAGCACATCAGCAGTAGACCAGGCAAAACAATCCACATTGTCAGAGAGCAGGTCATAAGAGGTAAGATGCTTAACCACTTCAGCATTGATTAAAGCCTTGAATACTTTGCTGAAAAGTCATAGGAGACTAATAGGACGATAGAGAAACTACAGAAAAGGACTTCCAACAAGCTGGAAAGCAGGAAATGGGCAACAGTTGTCTTCTGTTATAATTCCTACAATAGCAGAGAGTCCTTATGAGAGATAATTCTGGATGTAACATCAATATTTTTTCTTTTACTTGGTGAATCATACACCTGGGAAATGTAATAAAAGCCATGAAGATGAGAAATTTTAATCCCAAACAATTTTTGGATTAATAAATACTCAGCTCCTATGTTTGGATAATGAAAACTAAAGAATGAATGCATTGACTGAAATGTAGACAAAAATAAAAAAACTTTTTGGCCAAAGAACTTGAATAATGACGTGAAATGTACATACCATTTTTTGCTTCATTCAGCATCCGAACTTCATGAGGTCTTTTTATTTTTTCAAGAGCATCCAAGATTTTCCCTACTGTGTTTTGGGAGTTTTTTGACCATTCTTCAAAAAATGCCATTGTGTTACTCTCATATCCAGATGGTTTTCCTTCTAATAACTAAAAAAAAAAATAAAAGGGGGGGGGTAGATATAATTAAAGATGAAAAATAAAAGAAATTTTTTTTTCATAAAATACAAACTATATTCTATAACATTTTATAAAAATGGTTTACATAATTTCAATACTAAAAAAAAACATTTTTACTGTAAAAACAAAAGAAACAGAATAAATAAAATATTGAAGAAATGGCTTATATTGACTGCACAACACAACCTCATTATTCTAAATTTTTTATCATAATGTGTGTGTGTGTGTGTGTGTGTGTGTAAAAATATATATATATATATATGTGTGTGTGTGTGTAATATATATATTATTATTATTATTTATATATTATATGCGCGGTACTTATTAGAAAGCGCTCAATATCAGAGATAGAGCTAACGTATTTGGTTGGATTGATGTGAGTTTGTGACCCTGGGTTTCACGTTTTTGCGATTGTCAGACAAATTGATTAATTTTTTTTAAATTTTGGATTTATGTAGATTGCGCAATCTACATAAATCAAAATTTAAAAAAATAATCATAAACAATTAGCGTGAAATGAATCTAAACTCACATCAATCCAACCAAATATATATATATAACACAAGTCGGTGCTGCAAAGTCCTCAGTCTGGCCCACTTTCCAAACCCTTCATTCAGTCTAATCACTTTGAAATAGTTAAGATCTGGCATTGCAATGAAAATTAGATGTTGCTTCATCTTAAAATAAGTAAAATTCCTTCTCTTCATGAAATACCCAAGAATCTCTGGCACAAACGAACGTTGTGTATCGACGTTACAGAATTGAGGCACTATATATATATATATATATATATATATATATATAAAAATAAAATAAATATATGTGTGTGTATGTATGTAGCATCTGTTGGTCTCAAGAGACCATGGATCTGCACCCAAAAATTATGCCTCAGCTGCTGATGGCAACACAGCATCTGTTATGGCTGTACAAGCCCACTTGGGAGTGACAGTCTCCATTGCAATGAATGCATGTAAGAATAATAAAAGAACAAGAATTAAGAAGACAGAAGATAACAATTGACATTGCATTTAAATTTTTAAACTAAGTGCATTGATGTCAAGGGGGACTATATTGAAAAATAGTGAAAACTGTCTTGTTTCTCCAACTCCTGGGTGAGGCTTAGAACTTTTTGAATGACCCTCATATTTTATCCTTTATTCCTGTATAAACATCTTTGTCTTTAATTTTGCCTTTCAATATCTCTTCTACCTATTAATAAACAGGATACTGTAAAGGAACATTATTTTAGATTTAAATGAATTAGATGTTATTTTTCTTTTTTACTGCATTTGTTGTTGTAGGCATATATTATGCTTTCATTGTTATTTTCCAGTGTTTAAATCTACAAAGTTGTATTACAATATTCAGAAAATTATTATATTCAAATGATGACAAACAACTGTAATTCAGAGTGCTTTATCATGGAGGAATAGTTTGTAAGCTAGCCTTACAGGCCAATATTGTAGTAGTGAATTTGATCATTACTTAGTGCTTCACAATTATGGTTTTGTGCTAGTTTTATTTTAGCTGAATAAATACACATGGATGCTTTGCCATGATGCAATGGTTAGCAAGCTAGTCTCACAGATAATTCTTATCAGTAGTGATTTCCAGCTAAATTTTGAAAATATCAATCTAACAGTAATATCACATTAATATTATGTAAAGTTCTTTAAATTTTATCAAGAATAAACATAACCACCATGGTTCAGTGGTAAGCCCCTTTTGCTACACAGAGAATTACGTGTTCAAATCCTACTGAATGTAGCTTCTCTGAAAATCAAAATATATAATAATTAAACCAACAATATAAAAAATAAAAAACTGATTTCATTGTGCTTGTTTCTCTCACATAGTAGAGAGGAATATTATAGAACAAGACTTAAAATGCTCTTGAGGAATAAAACAATTTTCAGTCCAGTTCATCCACTGACTCCCAAGTAATTTTTAACATTTTTAAGTATAAAAAATGTCTGCCCAAAAGAAATAAATCATTATTGGACAGTTGACTCTTAAATAGATGATACAGTATTATTTATCAGTTAGTTTATATTGTTTTAACCGATCTACAGGATGTATTTTTTTTTATCTGATTTACCAACCCTAACCTGTGTATGAAAAAAATGACCTTATATCCCCTAGCTAGGTTAAAACAATACAACTCAAATACTGTATTCTTTATTCAAGGGTCAACTGTCCAATAATGGTGATGAGCCCTTAATAAAGAAAAAAAATCTATACATGCACAAAACCCTTTTTTTTCCTCAGTCCAACTTGATTTTATTTTTCATTTAGAAAAGACAGGTGTATCCTAAAAATTTTCTTGTCATACCTCTGTTTTGTCTAATGGCCTAATAATATACAATAAATTTATCATTATTTTGTCTTTTAAGAATTTATTTCATCAGTTGTTTTGGAAATAGGACTGGTGCAGTGTGTGACAAAATATTCAAACAAACCTCAAAAGTTTTCTTTCTTTTGGACTGATTGCCAAACAAGGTGAGAGGTCAGTTTGCTCTTTTTAACCCATAGCTTTGGGGAGAATAGATGGATTCTATTCTATTTAAGTTATTCATATTCTTTCATTAATAGTTGTATTAATGCAAGTATTATTGAAGGAATATGAATAACTTAAATGAAATCATTCTAGCAATTACATAATATATGAAACCTACACATAGTAATAACTGGAATTTCCATGAATCCAGCAAGCAAAAATGAATCTAATTTTCTACTTACCATTTTTTCACGAAAGGTAAGTCCAACTTCAGCTCCCAAACTGGTCCAGTCAGAAGCAAAGACTTTACACCTAATGTCCAGCAATTGGGCAAGATTCTTGCGGATGTTCATTGGGACATACTTGAATGGAATACTCCTGAAATCCATGTTGGATCTTGCTTCAGGAAAATCTAGGAGATTCATTCAAGGAACTTTTGAACATTGGCAGAAAAGAATGCTAGAAAAATAAAACCTGAAAATAACATTGAAAACAAATCAGATTTTGAAAACAGTCAAATAATTTGTCTAGATTTATAAGGAAAAGACTGGATTAAAATGTTGAAAACTTGCCTTCTTGGCAGCTTGTAACAGATGAAACACACTATATTCCACCAACTGCTCACCAAGACCTTACACGAATGGAGCTTTGGTTGAGATGCTGAAACAAGTTTATCACCCAGAATTCCAGATTCTTTCAAAAAGGAATAAAAAAAAAAAAAAAGAAAAAAGTTTCACAATGAGCCTTTGTCAATGCAAATAATACTGGATATATTTTAGACAAATTTAACTTTTGATACATTTAAATGAATTTCTATTTTATTGGGCCATTACTTTCTAAACAAACAGATTAAATTTCAATTTAGGTAAGGCTGGGTTTTAAAGTTTCTGACACGCCATGAATATTCTTAAAGTATAGAAATGTTCTCATTCTGGTTAAAGTTGAATTCAGAATTAAAAAGTTGCCAGCCTGATGAATCAAAAGGGACAAAACAGACCAGGATGAAAATGTATCATGATCCAATTTAACCACTTTGCTTTGTGACACCCACCAGTGGTCGCGGTCGCAGCGCCAATATGTGATGTCCTCTGGTCACGACGCCAATATGTAACACTGCGCTGTTGGCCCATGGTCAACTCCCAGTTGCGACATGAAGCTGTAAGGTTTCTTCCACCAGTGTTTTGGGGTTGACTCTTTCTCACTGCCACCAGCCTGTGTCCCGGTCAATATGGTCATTCCTGGTTTGATACCAGCTTTGTTGTTCCCAGCTCACTTCCAACGTATAAACCTACCCACGTTGTGACTTTGATCTTAGGTAGACGAAATCAATCAGGCCGTAGTGCAAACTGAATCCAGGGTAAAGGCGATATTGCACAAACGTAAGTAAAAGAAGCAATAAAACAAACTCAAGAGGTTGAGAAATAACAAATTATCTTTATCCGTCTATTGAATACAGAAGTGTGTTTCTCTCCCAGCCCATTTCTATGGATTCATGACACTTGCGTTTCTTAAGTGAGTTTTGGTATCTTAAGTCATTCGTCAATATAACTTGCTTTTAGTAGGAAGGCTAAGTTGGAAGGACGTGAAATTTCTCGGTCAGCTTCTGCGAGGCAACGACCTGACTGCAACTACGAATCAACAGCTGGAACTCCTGGAACCAACTAACTCCAAATTGATCAGCTGCCTCGACACATTCGTTTATAGGGATACCGACCAAAACCCGGTGTGGGGGCCTGACGTGGCTTGGGTTCCCGATAATTCTCGATTCACAGCAAGAATTCTCTTTGTTCTTAGGCCAGGAAAATTAATTACTTCCCATTTCTGGAAGATTAATCACTTTCCATTTCGGGGGTTTCTCCCTCGTCCATGAGGGAAGGTCAGAGGAGAGTTATCCTCCTAGACTCTTCCTCTCTCACATTGGTATCTCATACCAATCCCCTCAGTGGATGTTAACAACTTCTCTGTCTTTCTCATACATTCACCTCCGCCTATCGGCCATGCTACCACTTGACCAATGATCTCTTGGCAATGTTGGTGTAGCTAGACTGGCCCTCTTGAAATTATTATCCAGAATTTTGTTTACAAAATCCTTTTTTTTTTCTTTTTTTTTTTTTTCGGCCAAAACATTTACAAATCCCAGATTTTCAAATAATTCTTATGACATCTTTCTTTCGGGGACACCCAAGATTCACTTAGTCAGGTTTCTCTACCGACTCATCAATCACTGTCAAAACCCGACACCTGGTTTCTTCTGCTAAGTCAACTTTTATCTGGGAGGTCCTTATTTTACCTGAGAATCAAATTCTTTATTTTTCTCATGCCTTAAAGTCCTCTTATCAGCAAATGCCCATTTTCGATGACACTGTGTCTGACGTCAACAGTTTGAATAAGCAATAATAATACGATTTTCTTCCTCATGCCAGAATTCTAACACAAACCAGATGGCTTCCTTCGTTGGACCCAGGAATTAAAATTAAATGATATCTCTGAAAGATAACTAACATCTATTCTCCGTGGTGGTCTCAAGTCGAATTTTTTTATGGTTGCATGTGTCGGTTGGCTTTGTTTTTCTTTCCATTTCCCTTGGTGTGTCACTCCCTTAACATGACATTAATCAGTTTTGACAGAATCTCATATCTTGCTTTTTCTTACGGATTTTCTGTCTCATGTGAAAAGTATCTTTCTTCGTAAATAAAATAAAATCTTCTCTTTTTTTTTTTTTAATGTCGATCAGTCTATCTTTCGATGTAGCTCTTTCTCGCCTTAAGTCTCTCCTGTTTTTAATTTCTATGGTTAATTAGTTAGCCAATTACCATAGCGAAATAGTGTCATACTTGGCATATAGATTGGATTACCAGATTAACAACCTAGCTAATTAAACAAGTTTGTATTGTTTTCTAAGACATCTTTCCAATTCTTAGAAAAGATAGTTTCTTTTTCCAAGAAGTGCCTGTTGGTGTTCTCTATTTCCCATTCTTATATTTGTTTTCTATTTCACTTTTCATTGTTTGCTCTTTTATTCTAAAATTATTATATGGTTGTTTGGTTTGGTTTGTTTTACGGCACATCAAGCTCAATGGATAATGCCAATAAGATTTTCATTGCTGGTAATAATTTTTTCAAAAATGTATTGCTAGTATTAAAACCTATTTTTACACTTTCATAATGTTTTGACGGCAGTTTGGGGGGTTAGTATATTGCTGGTAATAACGTATTGCTAGTAATAATTATTTAAAAAAATGTATTGCTGGTAATATTTTTTCCTTCAAAAATGTATTGCTGATAATATTTTTTCCTCAAAAGATTTGTTGCTGGTATTAAAACCTATTTTTACACTGTCACAGTTCTTCAACATTAGTTTGGGTGTTAACTATTTGTTCATAGTTGGGACCCTAACAGGTGCTACCACCACAGGTCAGAGTGAGCCTGGGAACACCAGCAATTAAGAGGTGGTTCCATGCTCCTCAAAACCTCTTGATCAGAGGTCTTGTTTTTGGATGTAGTTTATCATCTTACTCAGGATGTGGATGTAGTTTATCGTCTTACCCAGGACAGCGGTTATTTAGGGTTTTCCTTTTGCTGCTTTAATACATAATAAAAATGAGGGGGAAAATGGCCTTCAGGATTGATAAAAAAGTTTCCTTATAGATTAATGGCAATAATACGTTATACTTAGATGTGAAAAGGCAAAAGTGCAGAGGATAAAAATAAACTTGTTTGTTCCTTTGAATATTTGATAAATTTTTTTCATTTAATTATTTCATCCTATTTTATAATTTTTAAAACATGGACAAAACCTGGCTGATTTTCTTATCTTTTTATCTATAAGAAATTATATAAGCCAAGTGATTTCTGCTTAAATTTCTTAGATGTGGAGTTATCAATATTTATGTGTACTATTGTCTTCATCTTTGTTGTTATCACATTTTGCCCTTTGTGTTCTTTGGCCATCATCAGGTGTATATTGATCTGGTTAACCTACAGGGAATTTCAAATTGAACCTTTTATTTAATCAATGGGTATAGAATGAATGTCTATTATGTCTGATCATGAGCTGTTTTAATGTTCAAATGTTTGCTTTAATTTCTGGTGAAAATAAAGACAAAAATTGTCGAACATTTGGATATTTTTTAATTAAGTTGGTTCTAAGCTTTCGGCTCACATGAGCCATCCTCAGAATAGTTATACAAACATGAAACAAAAGATATCCACTGTCAAAGATGTTATTTTGACATAGAAAATTGCTATGCGACGACAACGGTTGCGGAATAGCAGACGCAGATTGTAAGTCCAAGATGTTTTATGATGTCATACCATGCAATAGACCAAAGTATTACAACAGAACCAATATCTACATGCAATGTAATGTGTTGTGGCTAGTTTGAAATATAATTTTGTTGAGTGTGGATTGCTTAGTTTTAATGTAGATGGCCTCCAATATCTGAAGAAGCTTTCATTTTTAAAAATTAATTTTAAACACTTTAGATGTTACGTTTCTGTGGATTTTATATATATATATATATATATATATATATATATATATATATATATATAACAAACCAAACTACTGGTAAAGCTTTCAAATAGAACACTACCAAATAAACAAACTTGAAGTGCCAAAAGAAAAAGAAACCAAGAATAAACGAAAAAAAAAACCAATTGAAGAATGGAATATATTTGAGCATCATATACTCTGGTTATATTTGCCTTAGATTTTATTAACAAAATTTAAAATTCATATCTACAAATCTTAAAGGAACAATAACACTACATTAATATTTGTAGATTAGCGTCAGATAAACCTTGAACATTTAGTATTTCTGTACGTTATGAACATTCTATCTTCACTATGCTTCCAATGGAAAAAAAGAAATATTTTCTATATACAACTGAATATTTGGCGTACCAAATATACAAACAAAAGAATATTTCAAAGATCTTCATAAGCAATTTATGAAACAAAATACAATATCAGTGTTTGAAAATTAGAGACATAAGCAAAAATGGACTATTATCAAATAGACATTACTGCTATAAATAGAGGGGCCCATAACAGTAGAAAAAAGTTATTAAACTGTGTTTTGAAATGCTTTTATTGATTATGATTCATTGGGACTAGCCTTTCTAAAACATTACCAATTTAGTGATTACAACTGTTTTAGTCAATGGCTTGACGAAATGGCTATTGACATTGGGAAACAAATTACATTTACATCAAAGAACATTTTCTTTGCAAGTAGATGAG